TATGTCCGACCATATATTGTCGAAGGCGTTGAGTTGCCCACACCAATGCACAACATGTTTTTTCGAGTGGTGTATAACGGGTCTCATAGTTTAGGAATTTTTTACTGAGGTAATATATGGCTTGTTTTTTTTTACCAGTGTCATCTTGTTGACCGAGCACACATCCCATGGACTCGTCGAGTACTGATAGGTAAAGAATTAGGGGTCTCCCTTCCACAGGTGGTATTAATACTGGAGGATTAGTTAGGCATATTTTGATATTTTCGAAGGCTCGTTGACATTCATCGTTCCAAACCGTCGGTTGGTTTTTACGCAATAACTTGAAGATGGGCATACATTTATCTCGTTAATTGCGCAATGAACCGTGCGATGTAGTTTATTCGGCCTAAGAACCCTCTAACTTCTTTTTCTGTTCTTGGCGGGGCATCTCTATGATTGCTTTTGTTTTATCGGGGTCCACCTCAATTCCTTTTTTACCGATGATGAACCCGAGAAGTTTTCCCGATCGTACTCCGAACGTGCATTTAGCCGGATTAAGCTTAATCTGGTATTTTCGAAGCCGATTGAATAATTTCGTTAAGTGTAGGAAGTGATCTGTCTCATTTTTAGACTTGACAATCATATCATCCACGTATACTTCGATTTCTTTGTGGATCATATCGTGAAATAGTGTAACCATAGCCCTTTGATAGGTCGCCCCTGCATTCTTAAGTCCAAACGGCATCACTCTATAACAAAATGTCCCCCATGGCGTAATGAAGGAAGTTTTTTCTCTGTCTTCGACAGCCAATTTGATTTGATTATACCCTGCATATCCATCCATGAAAGAATAAAGAGTATTTGTAGCAAGTGTGATCTACGAGCATATCAATATGTGGTAAGGGGAAATCATCTTTCGGACTTGCACGGTTCAAGTCCCGTAATCTACGCATACTCGATTTTTCCATTTATCTTTATAACTGGCACAATATTTGCCGACCATTCAGGGTATTTTGAAACGATCAGGAAATTGGCATCCAACTGTTTTTCTACTTCTTCTTTAATTTTTAAGGACCATTCTGGTTTTACTCTTCGAGTTTTTGTTTAACGGTCGAAATCCCTCTTTTAATGGTAATCGATGCTCCACTATACTTTTATCGATCCCAGGCATATCATGGTAGGACCACGCAAACACGTCCATATATTCTCTTAGCAATTGTATTAGTTTTTTTGACATCATCATCAATTTGGGTTCCAATATTTACTTCTTTCTTATTATCTTCTTGTCCCGGATTGATGACCTCGGTTTTCTCCCGATGGGGCTGTATTGATTGCGCTTCTTTTTCTAGCAGTCTTTGCATGTCCGGGAAATGGTCCCCTCCTCACTGTCCGACTCAATCCATTCGTCTTCGACTTTCGGATCTTCCAAGGAGTTTTCAATCACGAGACATGACTCGTATGGGTTATGCTTTGTTTTAGATTTCTTTATGAGACGTATGAGAGAGAAAAGAATGAAAGAGAATATGGATATTAAAAAAAATGCCTTATTGTATTGATAGAAGAAAATATTTACAAAGCCCTTATTAACCAAAAATCTTGTGATCATGGGCGAGGATCACGAGAAATACATCGGAAGTTTTTTTTTATATCTATTTTTATCTATATTTTTTATTGCAAAAGATGATAAAAATGATGAGCCCTAATCTAGCTGGTCTCCGTTATCCCATCTTTTATTCGGGCATTGATAGGGGCTGGTCATCCACCTTCGGAGTAGATGCGTCAAAGGTAATCCATCCCGCGTCTATTAGATTCCGGACCTTGTGCTTTAGGGCTACACAACTTTCGATGGAGTGCCCTGGAGAACCTGAATGGTAATCACAGCTTTCATTAGATTTATACCATTCCGGGTATGGTGGCTCCATTTTCTTGGGAGGGACGCGCACGAGGAGCTTGGCGTCCAACAATTTCAAAAATAGACTTCCATAGGAGGTAGGTATGGAAGTGAATTTCCTCTCCTGTCTCGCGTGGTTTGGCTTGTTGTGAGGAAGAAGAAGGAGTGGCAATGTTGATTGCATTTACAGTTCCTTCCTTCTTCTTTCCAAAGCTCTTTTTATCATTCGGAGTAGAGGAATTGGAGGTAGTATGCTGTGCAATTCTTCCGCTTTTCGGACCTTGCTCTACTCTTTCTCCTATAATTACCACATCCGCAAAGAGTGTTGATGTGTTCCCTATCATTTTGTCGTAATAGGGACCGAGTCAAAGAATTGATGAACATGGATGTGGTTTCCTTGTCTGATAGAGGAGGTTCCACTTGCGCTGCCAATTCCCTCCATCTTTGGGCATATGCTTTGAAGGATTCGTCGTTTTTCTTGCTTAATAATTGTAGATCCGCTCTTTCGGGGTCAGGTCAATGTTGTATTTATAACGACGAAGAAATGCATCTCGCCATATGTCTCCAGGTTTGGATTTGCCCTCCTTCTAGTTGCATATACCAGTTTAAGGCTGATTCAGCCAGGCTCTCCTGAAAGCAAGTGGATCGGAGTTTTTCATTATCGAGCATGTGCGACCATCTTACGACAGTACATTGTAAGATGGCTTCTTGGGCAGGTCGATCCCATGTATTTTGGAAAGTCCGGAGTTTTGAACTTGTTAGGGAATTGGATATTTTTGACGAGGCACATATCAGTCGCTTCTTTTATATCAAAGTTATGACCTTCCATGGCTCTCAGCCTTTCTTCAAGAGCGAGTGATTTGTTGTTTTGATATTTCGAGAGCATGAATATGTACTCGCTCTTGTGTCAGAATGATCGTGCTCACTTTGAGGTTCCTCTTCTTCTTCTTGGTGAGAGGCTTGTCCATTCTGAGGATCCTCTCGATGAAGATTCTGTTGATGCATCATTTCTAGCATTTGAGCCATTTGCTCTTTTAGCGTAGTAAGCTCAGCGGTGAGCTTTCGGTTTTGCTCTTCTAGTTGTTCCATCTTCTTAGCTTTTTGAGCACGAGTGAGGACGGGCGGAAGACCAGCCACCTTCTAAATGATTTTAATGATTCTTATTATAACTTTTTATTTTAAATGATTAGCGTGGAATAAATATGCCCTAGGATGAATGTGTTTATGTATGAGAGGTTTTATTATGATGATGTTTATGCATACTTTTCTTAATGCATTGGTTTTCTCTCTTGGTTTTACCACTTATTGAATGATATGGTATGAATGATACGACTTTGCCAAGAATTTTGTAAAAAGGTATTTTTATGACCTTAATGTTTTTATATTTTTTTATGATTTTTAGGGTTTTTCACTTTTTTGTTTGATTTTTAGGGTTTTTCACTTTTTTGTTTGTTGTATGATTACCCTATACTAATGCATCAATACAAATGCAGCAAACGTATGCACACACAATTCACACATCCACGAGCAGAGCCACGCTTATTTAATCACGAGGTAGGATTTTCCTGCAGAAACGTGCTTGGTTTAGGTGGTTCTAACTGTTCTCACCAGGCCAAAGGTCCCCAAGGTGCCCCCATTATAGGGACCTCTCAATCTCTCAATCCTCGGGTCATGCACGGAACTCCGTGGCGACACCCTTAGACCAAAAGAAGAGAGTTATCACCTTGAGTTGGTGGTTTTCCGACAACGGCAGTAGCCCCGTGTGCCAACTAACCGATCGTATCTGCCACCCACTCCCTATAGATATTCACTCTTGCCCCCTGTCGCTGCCGTCAAAAAGAGGCGGTCGGAGCGACGCGATGGTTTTATCGACCCTCTTGTTTTCGCGTTTTTTATTGGTGGTTACAACGTCCTTAGGTTGTCCGATAACCGGGCTAACCTAGAGACGAGGTTTTCGAAAAGTGTCCTTGAGTTGTCCGACAACCGGGCTAACCCAAGGACTTATTTATTTTGGGTTCTATGGAGTCGCCACCGATATTTTTACCATAAACATCGGAAAAGGGGTTTTAAAAAGGCGTTGGTTTTCGAAAACCAACTTTGGTCATTAGAACCAGAGTTGGGTAAGGGAGTTGGTTACGTGCAAAGGGAGTATTAGTCCCCCCTTTCGGGTTCCCTATGATAGGCCGGCTTATTTTTATTGATAAACTAGAAAATTGCGCTTTTACCCTTTTATTATGCGGTATTTAAATTTATGACTACATGGCCCTAACGTCTATTGCATAATTTAAATGAAAGCGGTAAAGTAAAGAAAGAGGTTTATGAACCTTCGAAGCAAGCTTTCTTATATTCTTTAAAAAAGGGTGCTTTGTGGCAGCCCTCTCACTCTACAACTCTCGAAACTCCGAAATGCCTCGGAGGGATTCTTAAGAAGATTTAGAACGCTCGATCTATGCCTAGAGACGCTCAGAAACTCCGGAAATGCCTCGGAGAGATTCTTAGAGAGAGAAAATCTAGAGAGAAGGGAGAGCTACTGTTTTTCTGTGTGGAAATGAGGGGGGGAGGACCCCTATTTATAGTTTTTCGCGCTGTCAGGGTCCAGACCGCCGTTCTCGTCTGACAGGGTCGAGACCGCCGTCTCGTCCAACGAGACCGCCGTCTCGTCCAACGAGACCGCCGTCTCGTCCAACGAGACCGCCGTCTCGTCCAACGAGACCGCCGTCTCGTCCAACGAGACCGTCGTCTCGTTTTTGTAGGCAACGAGACCGCCGTCTGGAAAAATGAGACCGCCGTCTCGTCCTTCGCTCGCTCAAGCGAGAAATCCGTCGCTTGAGCGAGACTTGACCGGGAGTTCCCTTTGTTTGAGGCATCCGTCGCTCAAGCGAGTACATCGGTCGCTTGAGCGAGACTCGACCCGAAGTCCCTTTGTTTGAGGCATCCATCGCTCAAGCGAGTACATCGATCGCTTGAGCGAGACTCGACCCGGAAGTCCCTTTTGTTTGAGGCATCCGTCGCTCAAGCGACGGACGTACTCGCTTGAGCGAGACTTGACCCGGAGTCCCCTTCAACGCGAGAATCTTTATTTTGGGCCAAAAAACCCTCCTATCTTGGTACGGGAGCCTAATAGTCTCTCCTAGTGGCTTGTTAGGCTTCGGCCGTCTTCGAATAGGGGATCTTCGACTTTATTTGGAGCCCGGCAAGATTTGGGGTCTACAGCTGCCCCCTTTACCCATCCAGTCGATTGCTGGCCTTCGTTGTCGGGATGATCGACTGGGGGTAAAGGAGTTGACCCTCTTGCCCGGTTACCTTTCGGATGTCCCATCTTGTGGCGGATGATCCTCTGGGGAGATGTGGTGGTCGTGTGCCTCTGAGATACTACTTCTGACGTAGCCGATCCCTTTGGTGAACACGTGGTAGAACCTCCAGATACTACTTGTGACGTAGCCGATCCTTTGGTTGATGGGTATAAACCCCCCATCGGCCGGGTACGGTCCGTTGTGTGGGACCGGATGGGTATGAACCCCCATCGTGGTGGTACGGTCCGTTGTGTGGGGCCGGATGGGTATGAACCCCCCATCGGGGTGGTAATGGCGGCTTACAGCTCATGTGGCCCATGCGCCGGCAAGGCGCTTCTCGTGTGTTGGTTGATAGGTATAAACCCCCTATCTCGGTCGGGCGCAGTCCACTGCGTAGGACCGGTGGTGATGGCGGCTATCTGCTCGAGTCGCTCATGCGCCGACTCTCGGGGAATGATTTCTGTGCTCGTGCACTTCCAGGATACTACTTCGACGTAGCCGATCCTTTCGATGGACACGTGGTGGAACCTCCGGATACTACTCCCGACGTAGCCGATCCTTCGGTTGATGAGTATAAACCCCCATCAGCCGGTAGTTGCAGTCCGTTGTGCGGGACCGGATGGGTATGAACCCCCATCGTGGTGGTACGGTCCGTTGTATGGGACCGGATGGGTATGAGCCCCCATCGGGGTGGTACGGTCCGTTGTATGGGACCGGATGGGTATGAGCCCCCATCGGGGTGGTAGTGCGACTTATCGATCCGGCTCGGGCGCAGATCAAGCACAGCTCTCGGAGAGTGCTGCTTGTGTTGAGTTGACTGCTTTTCGGATTTCTTGAATAGTCATCCGGGTCACGCCGGGGATTTTGTTGGTGTTTGTCCAGCTTGTTGATTGCTGGGGATTCTTTGTTTTTGATCTTTTGTGGTGGTCATCCGACTTTGCTTGGTTGTCTGGGATTTTTTGATAAGTGCCTCTTAGGTAGGCAGGAATCCTCCGAGGATTTGGTGATCTTGGTGACGCCTCTTGGGTAGGCGGATATCCATTGAGTTTTTGGTAATGCCTCCGAGTAGGCGGATGTTCCGTTTGGAGGTGCGGACTTTTGGTTTTGACTTTTTCTTTGCCTCTCGAATAGGCTAATGTTGCTTTTTTGCTTGCAAGGTTTTGCCTATGCGTTCCACTAGGGATATCCATGTTAGGCAAGTAGCTTTCCGAGGATATGCGTTTGAAGTTTTGCCTTTGCAGTAAGCTCTCGGGTAAGTTTTTCTTTTGATTGATCCACCTGGGAATTGGTTGCCTTCCGGGGATCTAATTTTGATCGTCTTTTGGGGAATGGAGTTGTGACTCCTTGTTTGGTGTTGATGAGAGCTGGTTTTTTCAAGCTCTTATTTCTCCGGGGAAATGGAGTTTTTTTTTTTTTTTTTTTTTTTTTTTTGTTTCCTATGCCTCTCGAGTAGGCTGGATGCTTCATTAGTGGTGAAGACTTTATACTTGCTTGCCTCCGAATAGGTGGATGTCCCTTTCTGGGGAAATTGGCTCTTGCCTTTGGAACTTGCCTTTGTCGTAGGCTCACCTGGAGATGATTTTTCTTTTTGATTGATCCACCGGGAATTGGTTTCCTTCCCGGGATCTAATTTTGATTTGCCCCCGAGGGAAAAATGGAGTTTTTGACTCCTTGTTGGATGTTGTTGTTTTGAGTCGGCTTTGCCTATGCTCTTATTCCGCTGGGATGACCAAGCCTTTCCGTTGGCTTTTTCTCGGTGTACCTTTGTTTATTGGTGTAGAAGGTTAGAGCTATTTTCCTTGAAGCTCTTTATTCTCGCTGCAATGGTTTTGATTTCGCCTTTTTTCCGCGATCTATCTCTTTTTTATCGCGATTTTTGAAATCGGCTTTTGTGGGGATAATGCGTAAGCCTTTTTACTTTTTAGTCTCTTTTTATTACGCTGGCTTTTTCCTTTCTTTTTGACGTTTTTTTTTATTATTTCTTTTTGACTTCCTGGGATCTGATTTTTCTTTTCTAGGAATGGAGTCTTGGCTCCTTGATTGAGGTTGATGCGAGCTAGACTTGTGAAGCTCTTATTCCATTGGAGAGTGGGAATTTCGATTCTTTTTTTGTTGGATTTTTTGGAGATCCACTTGAGGATTTTTATTTGGCCTTCTCTGTCATGGCCTTTTTGGACATCTGTCGGGGATGCAAGAGTTTTCTTCTTTTTTCCTCTTTTTTTTGTTGAGCCCTTGTTGGTTTGGACTCTTTTGACTATTGATGATGATGGGCTCTTGAAACCTTTATTCTCCATTGGGGAGTGTGGAGGCGACTTTGGGTGAGTGTGCTCGATGACTCATGTGGTGATGCAGCTGAGTCGTGAGGTAATCTTTTTGTTTTGCCTCCGGAGTAGGCAAGGATCCTCTTGGGGATAACTAAGCCTTTCCGTCGGCTTTTCTTTTATGATGTCTTGATGATTGTGCCCTCTTTTATTGGGTAGAAAAATGATGACTGGAGCTTTTGCTTCGGAAGCTTCTTATTTCTTCTGAGCTTATTTGATGATGACAACTCGCTCTTCTTCTTATATGTGCCTTCTTTTTTGGGTAGAAGGATGGTAGCTGAAGCTCTTATTTTGATGAGTCGCTTGATTGACGACTTGCTCTGTTTTCTTGAGGTCATTATTTGGAGAGTTGGTCTCGGTGATCCTGTTTTCAATCATGGAGCTAGTCTCCTTATATGTATGAATGCTTTTCATTTTTTTGTTTTTTTTTTATCTGAAGTAATTTTTTATTTTTTTCATTTTTTGTTTTGACAAAGTCGTTTTGTGCGACTACTTGTATGTGGATGCCCTAAATGCAATCTATTCTTTTTTATTGATGCATTTGGAAAAGTGACTGGCATTCTCCTGCTGGACTTTTTTATGATTATGATGAAGGACCCCTCTCTTTTATTCATTTTTTGGTTTAGCCCTATCTTTTGCCTAGACCGCCCTTTTGGGGTTTTCGGTCTATTGGGCTGCCTTACTTTTTGCCTAGGATATCTTAGCGGGCTTTTTTCCCTTTTTTTTTTATGAATGCCCTAACTTTTGCCTAGACCGCCCTTTGCGGGTTTTCGATCTAGCGAGCTACCCTAACTTTTGCCTAAGAATCTCCTAGCAGGCATTATTCTTTTTATTGTCATTTTTTCTTTCTCTTCTTTTTTTTTTGAGAGATAGGAGCCTATCATATGCATGCAATGTTTGCGATATGCATCCTATAATGCTATTTCAATTAATTTTTCAAAAGGATTAACCAATGTGCTTTTACTCTTGATATGCTTCGACGTTTTGTACTTTCGTTGACAGAATAGGCTATACCAATTTCGCCGTCTTGACTTTATCATGACCAAAGAATGATTGTGTTTAATTGTAGAGCGACTTTGCCGTGTCAGTGCGCCCCTCCTTTTCCTTGGGGATGTCAATCCTTATATTGATTACTATCTCCACATTTCCCTACTAATTACTAGAATGTTGTAGTAGTAAGGGTCAAGAGAAGAGAAAGAAGAGGATATTTAATTCAAAGGCTTGTGTTTTAGAATTGTTTTATTTTGACAAAAAATGGTTTTTGTAAGCACTGCTAGCCAAGGTTGGTTAGAGTGTTTAGGCTAGTTTAAACAAACGTTTTGTTTATGGAGTGACGTCCTATTGTATGGCGCTTGCTATGATCGATTGACTTCCCTAGTCTACCCTTTGGGTTTTTAGCCTAGGATGTTGTGTTTTGTTTTGTCCTAACTTTTGTCTAGGTTTCTTTTTTTTTTTGGTTACTTTGGGAAACCTAGCGGACTTTATTTTGTAACCCTAGTTTTTGCCTAGGCTACCCTTTATGGTTGTTCGGGTTTCCTAGCGGGTTTACCCTAACTTTTGCGTAGCCCCCTTTAATGGGTTTCCTACCGGTATCCCGCCTTTTTCTTTTGACTTTTGGCTTTTATGGGCTTCTTTTGATTTTTGTTTTCTTTTTGCACAACATTGGCGAAACATGACTTTATTTATGACGAGGTAAAACCTTATTTTGTGTTTCTAGTCAATCAGTTGATGATGGATTTGACTTTTATTTTGGTCAATGGCTCATTTTGATTACTTTGACGCACTTTTGAAAACGTTTGCTTAAACATGGTTATTAATGAGGTTTAGACATGAATAGCAAGAAGAGAAGCAGAAAGTAAGAATGGCATTCTTTGTAATTAATAGGGAAATGTGTGCCCTACAATGCTCGGGGTCGGGCTAGCCCCGAGGAGTAATTTCTAATAGTCATTGGATTTACAAGCCCTAAGAATCGAAGGAAAACACCTAATGACTAAAGTCGCTTTTGACGCTTGAATCCCTCTACTCGGAGAATCTGATTTGAGGTGCGAAGGGAGACTTCCCTTTTCTCCGTTGTGCAGCTTGATCCTTTATAGGGTAATGCTTTAAAGGATCGTCTTTAAAATTTGGTGGCTCTCTTATTTCTTGAGAGTTTCTAACGAGCCCTTGGTTTGGGCGGCATCCATATTTTCTTATCTCGTGGGCCACCTTCATATTGTTGGGGAAGTCTTTTTATATTGGCAAAAGGTATTTCGAAGGTCCTTTTTAGCCGCTTTTATTCAAAGTAGGATAGACGACTTGCTGATCCGAATGTCGTCTTTGTGACCAGCCTTATTGCCTAGCGTCATGAGTCCAAAGTCTTCTCAGCTTCCTCTTTGGATTATGTTTTTCTTCGGTCTTTTTATTTTTCCTTTATTCTTGGGAGCATTGTCTCGGTAGCTCCTCGGGGAGTAGATTCTTCCATTTCTAATTTTGCCCCCAATGCCGCCTATTGTGGAGATATTCTTGTTAATGGGCAGTGTTTTTGCGTATCTCCATGGTGCAACCTTATTTGATGTATGGGGTGAACAAATGTAACAATATCCTTGCCCCTTCTTCCTTATTAACTCTGGATACCCAACGGTTGAGGCTTATTATCCTCCTTGGGCGGATCAACCGTTGGAGAGAACTTGATGATCGAAGGCTTACTCTCCATCTTATTCTAATTCACTGAGAGCACATCGACTAATCCTTTCTTTTTATTATCTTATTATTATGAGAATGAATGCAATTCATGAATGCAACGCAATAGACGGTTGAGAGATGATGAAAAGAAACAATTTTATTTATTTCGTCCATACAGGTGTACATTCCTCAATGCAATGTTTTGAAGCCTAAATAGGCGGGTTAGAATTTCTATTTAATTTCTTTTTTTTGTGCATGGCATGCGAATGCCTTACCCTCTTTTCATGGTATTGAGGAAT